TTAAAAAAAAAAAAAAAAAAAAACAAAACTGAATTGTCTTTGCGGCCGCCATAAGGTTTAACCCAACATTTCTATGCATAAAATATGCTCGAAATAGCAGTAATCGTTAACGAGTTTCAAGCATTAGCATCAACAAATTTATTGGAAATAACTTAATTACAAAATTCTTCTAATTTTCTATACGATTTCAAATTTGTATTTGGGGTTAATTAAAATATGCCGGTAACGTAAAACACGTTGTAAAATTTATCAATATTCCAAAACAAAAAGTTTACACGTACCTTAAGGCTTCTGCTTTTGAACGAACTTCCATCTCGACGGTTTAGTGGGTTCGGTCTTAAATGACCATTTTCAATGGATTGAAAATCTCAACCAAGTAAAACCAACGGTCTCAGATCTCAACGGTTTTAACAAAAAAATATTAACATAAGGGGAATCCCCCCTCAAAATTGGTACCAACCCACAAATTTATACCAATCCAACACATGGAAAATAACTAGAGCAAGTTAAATAAACTGCTTTTGAACAAATCAATTAGGGCGGCCGTAGCCGTGTGGCTATGGTCGCCTGTATCACGAACATCTGATACGAAATGTCGTTGGTTCAATTCCGAAAATCAACAAAAATTTGTGGTGGCTGTTAAACCCGAAAGGGGTAGAAATAGGGCCGGAGAGATTTATATCAATAAATAAATTGATATAAATCTCTATTTAAAAACAAATCAATTATTTCCACCTATCCTCAAAATTATCCAGTAGCTAAATGGTAGAGGCTGGAAACAGGTGGAAGAAAAAAATAGCTATACCAATTGGTGAGAACGTACTAATAAATAAAACTTATAATTGGTTTCGAAATTATTTATAGGTATAAATGTTGTTAGTGTTGCATACATTATAAGTACAGCTGTATATTCATCAAGCAGTATCTGATCATCCAACTGCAACAGGTGACTACTATCACAAAAATGTTAATTTTATGTTTGCAATTATAAGTACTTTTTTGTGTTTAATTTTAAATTTAAATATTTTTGCGCAATTTCAGTCAATATTCTGAGTATTAATCAAGTAATATTCCTTTAACTATTCGCTTTAATTATAGAAAATCCGATAAGAAAGTTGGTTCGATTCTCAAAAAGAAAACAAAAATTTGTGGTGTGCGATAAACCCAAAAAGGGTAGAAAGGGGTCAAAGAGATTTATATCAATAATAATTTACATAAAATATGTTTTAGGTCACTTTGTTCTCAAAAGTGTGTTATAGTTTGTTAGAAAACTTGTGTTTCATTCTGAGAATTATAAGCATTATAAGCAAGTAAGTAATTTTCCTTTAATTGTTTGCTTTAATTAACATACAATTTGTTTTAGGATGGTTAGGACATGCTGAGAGAAGCTTTTCAGCAATTGATTCTCCATTGTTTGATCAATGGAAAATGGCCGCAAGGAATGCTTCTTTGATTAGCATGAGCAACGAGCATATCAAAAGAAATGTGGTTTGTAATCTTCATTTTGCAGATAATTACAATAAAAGACCTAACTTCTACACTTATGAAATGCCAAAGTTAACTGAAAATATTATGGAAGATCCAGAAATGGATATTGATAAAATTCATGCAAATACCCATATGAAAGATACAATGCAAGAAGTGGTTGAAATTGATAATTTAAATATTAGAAAACGAAAAAGGATCACTTGATCAAAAAATTATGTAAGGGAACATATTGAGTACATATACAGTAGAAAATCTATTTGAATTTACTATACACAAACTGTTTTGGGAGTACATAGGTGGAATCATAATATTTTAAAGCATGAAAGCGTAAGTTGATATTTTTTTTGGAATTCACTATTAATTAATGTTTATTTTTAGGATTGGATAAACTAAATTGAGGAAATGAAGCATCAAGTAAGCCAATAAGGGATCTTAGATGGTTTAGATCTTGAAATGTACCTAGAAAAGAAAAAAAACTAGGATATAATTGACAAAGATGGATGTCTCTTTCACACCAAATTTCTAATTTCAATCCGAAGCAAATTTCGAGAACATATTAACGATATAACGATATTTAGGGTCAATAGCCCTTTGAAGCAGTTGACTTTTTTGATTTGTGATATTTATATTATTGTATTGTTTTTTCATTTTAAATTTCAAATATTATTTTTCAACAATTTTTTTTTGTAAGGAAAAAAGTTTCCTTTTGAACTGTTAATTTTAATTAAGGGTTATTTCTTTTGTATTTTCAATTTTATAATTGAACAAGAGTAAGAAGGGAATTTAGTAAATAAAATTAAACCAAAATATATGCCGGTATATTTGATATTCGACTTTAATTAATTTAATATTTTTTTTAACCATAACTAAATTGAAATTTTAAGATGAACTGAAAAGATACTCATTTACTAGGAACGAAATTAATTTCGGTTCGACTCACCAAGTTATATGTAAATTAAACAGACTAATTATTAAAAAAACGGGAAATATTTGAACATAAACAGAAGAAAAGACTAATTTGTTAAATAGTTAACATCTCGATGACTTCAAAGAAATTTACAGATGCTTTTCGGCATTTTAAAAAGGAATATAGAATCGTAGATAATCAATGGTGTACATATGGTTTTTGTAAATGTGTACAACAGATTTTATGGAGAGGTCCCTCCTAACCTTCTTGTCCCAAAATTGGGTCACATTGAATTTTTAATTAGTCAAAGTCAGAAACGACGGTCGCCACGCGGGCCTCGAGACTAGCTGTAGATTTATTTTTGTTAAACTTTTGTTATTTTGTTAACAGAAGTTATTCAGGAAATCCTTGCAAATAAAACTCAGTAAATTAGTATCAGATATATTTTATTAAAAAATACAAATATTTGCTTAAAAATATTAAACATTTCTAAAAAAAATTATTAGTTACATAATATTAAATACATATATAAATTAAAACAATGCAAAAGAAATAGAGTGAAACGACAAAACGGAACAAAATATTGAAAAAAAAAACTTAATTTTGAATGATATTGTATTACATGGATTATTTTCATTTTATTTTTTTTTGACTATTTCTATTAATATTTCCAATTTTTGTGAAAAAAACATAAAATTCATAAATGTGACAACCTATAAATAGCATATAGAATATTATATCAACATTTGTATAATTTATGTCAATTCAAATAAAACATGAGAACATACAATGTACAATTTTACATACCTACAAAATGTAATTGTAAACTTTATTAAAAAATTATATTTTGGTAATTAAAAAAATAACTACATTTCAAGTATAAAATTATTTCCTTCCACTATTTTCATATAAAGGTTTTATATTGAATACGATACATTTATATTTTGTATGAGAAATGTCATGATAAGTAACAAATATAAATCAATTTCACGATTAAAAGTAAATGACTAAACATATCTTTATAAGTTTTCAAAGTCATAAAAAAATGAGAAATTTAATATTTTATTAAGAAAATTTCATATACCTCAATCATTATATTAAATTACTAGAAATTCTAGAATATTGTATTTCTCAACTTAAAATATTTTATTATAGAAATATATTTGGATAATAATTTTCATATTTCACTTGAACTGTTTTTACTGAAAAATAATGTTATTAGAATTCTTGAAATATTTCTACGTTTGCATTGTTTAATCAAACTGTATTATATATAGTCGGAAAAACTTTTTCTGTTGATGTGCACGGCCAACACGAAGCTGTATATGAAGGAGACCGGTGATAGAATCGCTGAAGATATGTCGCGGCTGGTCAATCCAAAGAACGCCTCTGCCCCGAGACAACCATAAGCGACCACGCCCGGCCAAAAACAACAACGGTGCCGAGGATCGACGTACAAGATACGATAAGGCCTCAGGGATCAAAAACCTGTATAGTCTTGGCCCTTGGAAGAAGTTGTTCGAAGAGGTGGTGGTGAGTACTCCCAAATCGATGGGGATTCAAGCCATCCCACTGACAGCTGAGGACATTAAGCGAACCCACCACCACTCGCTGATGAATGTAGAAAAGACCGAAGTCTTTGCCTGTGTTCTTCAGGAAATCCTATAGAAATACAATAATTGTGCAGAAATGGAAGAGTTCTGACACCTCACCAGAATAAGCAATTGTCGACTCAAGAAATACAAACACCGGAAAGCGATCCCCAAACGCTAATGGATGTTGAAAACTGAAGTCATTACCAGTGTTATCCAGGAAAACCTGTTGAAACATTGGCGTACAATAACGATTAGTCTGATTTGCAGAGGTAGAAGCAACTTCTGGACTCTTTTCACCCTGACCAATTGCCAACCTAACCAACATAACATCATTAAGCGGACCCTCCCTCCCAACTTGCTGATGAATGTAGAAAAGGCCGAAGTTTTTGCCTGTGTTCTTCAGAAAACCTTATAGAAATACTATAATTGTGCAGAAATGGAAGAGTTCTGACACCTCATCAGAATAACCAATCGTCGACTCAAGCATAACTAACACCGG